GAGACTAACAAGGCTTGTTCAGGTGGTCTCAAAGGAACTTCTGGCTCTAATATCCTATCATTTGAAGCAGGTGACTAGGACATTTTCTGTTCTTTGGTTAAGAATCGATTGTTTTGTCTTCTTAATCTACATTCTCTCCATACCCTCCTTTAGGCATTTGATATCTAATCCAAAAGAAATAGGAATCTCCATTTTATTAACATTCATAAATTTAACCAATGCAAATGTTGTTCCAAAAATGTAAAAGAAAGGAAGAAATTCATTCTAATGGAAAGAACACTGAATTTAAAGGGAGATGACATTCATTCTGGTCTTCAACTTTGCCATTTACTGAAAATCTGATCTTATGTAACCTTAAATTCCCATTTAGCACTAAAATTCTATGAAATGCAAATAAGTCTGTAAAAAGGAAACAGATCAGCTCTGAATTCACTTCCTTTCCTTTCTGAGATATTTAACATCCCACAGTAATTTTAATATAAACTCAAAACTGAAAGATGTTGATTTTAACTCTCATTTTCATAATAGCATGGTACTTGCTTAGTATAGGAGATAGTCAATAAATACGTAAGGAATAAATAAACAGTGGCTTCTCATGAACATGAGGCCTAGAAAAATCACACTTCATCAGGTAAGAACTCAATTAATTCAAAGAGAGTTCATTGGGCACCTACTAGTTCTGCTTGGCAGCCATGTTTGCCAAGCATTATTCCTTTGATCTTCCATAAATGGCAAGATGAAAAAGACGTGGCTTCTGTCTTCTATTAACCAATGACACTTTGAAGGGAGATGGCATGTGTTACAAGTATTAGTACATCATGCTAAAAGGACTACAGTGCAATAGGAAAAGGGCCAGGCTTCTTGTGAGCAGAACTGTGCCTCATCCTCATTCTTTTACTAACTAGTTGTATGAATGTGAGAAAATCATCTGTACAATCGAACATTAGTTTCATCATCAGCAAATTACACTATACAATCTCTAAGGTCCCTTCCAGCTATAAGTCTGAAAATGATTCTATGCCTCTGAGAAAGTAGTTTCAATGCTAGTCTCAAAGAAGCCTAACTATACACTGGAGACGCTCTGTCTTCAATACACTTATTTTTCCAGGTAAAACTAATAAGCAAAGTCACACAGTAAGTTTTTTGATTGGTTTCGAGCACAGTTGCCTCAATCTTTGAACTCTCCTGTTAGGAAACTTTCTAATTTGATTTCTGCTGATTTTTGTAAAAACAGTAGTAGGAATGCTTGTTTTCTAAATTACCGTCAAACACCCTAGTAGCAAGTTAGATGAAAGACGTAATTCAATTCCATTCAACAAGCATTTTATTGAGTACCAATTACACGCACAGTCCCAAAAATGATTCCAAGATAAAGAAAGGTCATGGTCCTTAAGGAACCTACAGCCAAGTAGAGAAAATGAAACATTTTCATTATACCAAGAGTATTTATTTCAGAGCAAGGAAAAAAAAAATTCAGAAAGTAAAACAATACAGAAGATAGAAAAATAACTTAAAAAGAAGTGATGTGGAGGAGGGCTAGAAATCAGTCAGAAATTCCTCAGCCTAAAAGAAATAATGACACATATATTAGCAAGGGAAGGCATCAGCTAGAAGATCTTGCATTCAAATCCATTCCAGCAGGGTGAGACCGGCAGGCAGGGGCCAGCAGCCCGAGTGGAGATAGTGGAGACAGTCAGAGAGCTGTACGCAGGACTCTCTGGGGTCCCTGGGAAAAAACTGAAATTCTATCCAATGCCGGCACCTTCTACAGAAGAGAGAGGGAAACAGCTGACTTAAAAAGTTGCCCCCAAAGTCAGGCAACTGGAGATAGGAAGACTCAGGAAGCATTTCCTAAACAACAAAGAGAGGGAAGGACAAAGCAAGAGCAACCCTTGCGTTTCATGCAGTCAGTGAAAGAGAATTTTCTTCCTCCTCATAAGCTCTACAGAATGGTCACAGGCAGAAACATTCAAAAAAGGGAAAATGCCAAGCTCTCTGAGAGGAAGAGAAAAATGATTGATGAGAGGAAAATCTCCAACACAGCATGGAATATTCCATTTTGTACAGATTTCTCCTGAAGGTCCAGGACTGAGCTAAAGGACACAGCCCTGAGTCTGGGGATAAGGAGAGGAGGGGATGGAGCTGGAATCTTACACAACACTGGAGACCAATGCGGGGATGAGGGGGTTTGTAGGGGGGTGTTCCTGACTCACCCTTTTAGATATAATACGGTAATTTCCTATAAGCTGCCAGTAGCATTCTTGTTCAAACACAGATGTACAAACATCTAGATTGGCTGCACCATTTCCCACACTTTGAGCCATTTTGGGTACAGTTGTAAACTAAGATCAAATTATACATCTTTGAAAACCTGATATTAACATTCTGCTCATACCACAATGTCAAACATCCCCACCAAAAAATGTGAAGTGAGGAAGAAAAGTGAAAAATAAGACAGGAGGGTAAAAGCGAGGAGCATTTCGAGACTTTTCATCTCAGCAAGGGCAAAAGGGGTTGCCTCCAGTATTTTCCTCTGGGCCCTATTATTTTTCCTGTATGTTCCACAATTATGGGAGTATCTATTACTGTTTAACTTTTTTTTAAATTTTTTGTTTGGGGGGTAGGTAGTTAGGTTTACTTATTTATTTTTTTTAATGGGGGTACTAAGGATTGAACCCAGAACCTCACGCATGCTAGGCACACATTTCTACCCGAGCTACAGCCTCCCCCCTGTATTACTGTTTTTTAATGCACACTTTTATATGTATAAATTATGCTTGTCCAGCTATATTCTGAGCATATTCCACACTCTTCAATCCAGAATCCCAAACTGAACTCTACAAGCTCCAAGATTTGAAAGTCCCGCCCGAGCACCCATGCACTGAATAGCTTTGGATGAGTTCTTAGGCTTAGCCTGGGAGAGCTGTAGCAACACCACAGCAAGAAGGTCCAAAAAGCAAAACAAATAGGCACACAAACAACTCTCCTATTGCTTAAATAATGCAGGCTGTTCTTAACTTTGTTTGTTTGGTCTCCGTCAATAGAGTCAGAGGACTATGGCAGTCTTTTTCACCTTTAAGATTTAAGCACACTAGGAAACAATAAAATATTTAGCGTTTTGGATGTTGGTTGGTTGGTTGGTTGGTTTTGTTTTGTTTTTCTGGTGGTGGTGGTAGGCTTCAAACTCCTATTGCACAATTATTAGAGCTTTAAAAAAAAAAGAGTCATGTTTGATTGTCCTTCCTTCCTTCCTCCCTCCGTCCCTCCCTCCCTTTCTTTCTTTTAATGGAGGTACTGGGGATTGAATCCAGGACCTCAATTCAAGTTAAGTATGCATTCTACCCCTAAGCTATTCCCATCCCCTGGGGACATTTACTTCCTACTCTCACTAAGATAAACATTCGGAAATAAGATCCTGCAAGAATCCTTCCCAATTTAAAGCTTACTTAGAGGTTTGTCTGTAACTTCAGAGACCTTTGTGCATGCTGAGCTTAACAGCAAGCCACTTGAATTGCTCTAATTTTTGGTGAATACGGATTCTCCCAGAACAGGTCACAATTCTGAACTGGATACATTCATGACAACAGGGAATTACACCTACAGTGTCCACATAAGTCATGAAGAGTTAATTACAGGAGAAACCCACCTTTCTGCACTATTAAGTATTATGTATTCTGAAGGAGGACAGGAAGAAAACTCACCTTCAAATGAAGGTAAATTACCTACAATGATGTAGTGAAAGCTTCTTAAAAAAAATCTATATAGGAAAATATTTTTTTAAAATAGGAAAAAAAAAGGCAAGACATATTTTATATTGTAGTCTACTCCTAAATTCTAATTATTTTCACATAAAATGGTTATATTTACTCTCCTTGAACAAAAAATGTAATAATTTTTGCTTCCCCTATGCTTATGTACTTCCCTGTTAATATAAGAAAATAGTGTAGTAACCTAATTACTTCCCCTCACAAAAAAGAAAATAGTGTAGAAAAACACGTCCTTATGAGATACAACTACATGAAAAATGCCAGACTGTTAATGTAACATTTTTCTGAGATGTGAGAAAATGGAATAAAAGATACACATTTTTTTAAAATTCATAATTGAAGATAGTAAATGGTTTAAAAATTTCAAAAGAAATGATATTCACATAAAAAATTATGAGTAAGTCAGTCCTAGTATATAAACAACAATGTTTTCTGAGTAAGTCAAGAAAGAGATTCAGGAGAATGAGTTTTTTGGGGTTGGGTCAGTTTTGTTTTGGAAGTGAATTCTTTCCAGAACTTATGATTTTGATTATACATATACTTGATGTTATTTTTATGGCTCTTTGCCAATCCCTTATTGTTTATGAGACTTTGATCTTTCAGTTTTGCAGTTAGCTGGGATTATTGTGCACAATAGTATCAAACACTTACATCTTACACTTAATATCTGACACTGTTGTCAGACCCTGTTCTAAATGCTTTTCTTATATTAACTCACTTGATTCTCAACACTATTAAGTAGATATTATTACTACTATTATTATAGACAAGAAGACTGAAGTACAGGGAGGCTAACGAATTTGCCCAAGGACACACAGCTAGTAAATTTTTAAAAGACTAGAAGGAAATACATCACGGTATTGATGGCGGTTTCGTAGAGTGTGGGGTTACAAAGGATTTAGAGAGATGATATGACAAGCTCTTAGACAAGCTCTTAAACTAACACAGTGGCAGCGGAGCTGGAACAGAGAGGACAGACTCCAGAACAATTTAAGGAAAAATACTAGCTGGCCTTGTGGACTGATTGATTCCACCTGGGGTTGAGGGCGAGTGGGCAGAGTCTAAATACACTCCAGCCTCTGGCTTAGGTAACTGTATGGACCTGTTCACTAGGATACAGAATATGAAAGATGGAGCAGCTTTGGGAGAGAGAAGGATGTTTTCAGTTTTCACACGTCAAGCTTTACTGTAAATATTTGAATATGTAACTTTGAAGCACAAGAGAGAAGTTAGGTCTGGACTTCAGAGTCTTCACGTAGAGCTGGCGGTTAAACTCCAAAGAGAGGTTATCACCCAGGGAGAGCATGGAAGGAGAAAAAAAGTTGTGGAAAATCTCAGCTTTATGGGACAGGCAGGGGATAAGACAGCCATTCAAATTTGACATTAAAATAGCAAATATAGGTATGAAATGCCAGGTATATATTTGCTTCTCAAGCTAGGGTTCTTTTATGGGAGACAAGGCAGCACAGAAGTAGGGGAGAGCAGTCAGACAAGTTTGGGTGCAAACCTAGAACTTTGTCACTTAGGAGCTCTGTGACTATTGTCAAGTTACTGTCTTTAAAACATGAATGATTAACACACAACTCATACTGCTGTGGGTGTTAAACGAGTTCATCCACAAAAGCACTTATATGGCACAGTGCCCAACGTAGCATGGACCCAATAAATATTAGATATGATCACTAAAGAGCACACAAATATAAAATATTTTTCATTCCATTGTCATATTTTGCCAATTGAGAAAACGGTCAGGAAGTCTGCTGGCTAGCAGTAATAAACTACAATGGAATTAAACAATTGTATGAAAAAGCCACCAAAATAATTCACCCTCAAGTACTGGTATTTTCCGTGAATCTGTATCGCATCGTACACGTAAACAGAGGTAACAGCGGCTGGTTGTAAGAATCAACACAGACTGATAGAAATGTTGGTATTTGAGCTACAAGACTGCAATCAAAATTCTTTTGTTTTACCCTAAATATTCAACAACTAGCCCCAGTGGATGGCACAGAATAAGCCATCAATAACTATGTTGACTTAAGGTAACAAAACGATTTCAAAAAAGGGGGGGGATGATTTCTTGTACCTGCTATGAAACATTTCACTATCGGAAGAATTATCACTCAGGCAAAGATGAAGCAGCCACGCCGTACTTGTCATTTGAGAGCTCTCAAAGGAGTTTGGCTATGCAATTCCTCTCCCATCAGTATCTGCTGCATATTTGAAATTCCCAGTCTTAGATGTCCTCCCTTGGAATAAGGCTTAGAGTCCACAGAAGAGCCCATTAAAATGTAAATATGTTATCAGTTAAGAACCAACTTGGCTTCTGGCAGACCCTGATACGTTTATCAGCCCTGCTGTGTGATGAGCTAGCTGCCTCCCAGAGGCCTAGACCTCGGTTGGGTGCAGGAAGGGCTGCTTCTGAGCAGATACGGTGGGGTCCGCCTTGGCTAGGGGCCGGGACACTGCTGACCGCCAGGCAGGACAAAAGCAGCCCCGGGAGGTCTTGTGGTGGGGCCGGGCCGGACGCCATCATGCCCGGGTCTCCCTGTTCCTCACGCCGGGTCACCTCGGCCCTTCCAAAAACCGGCTGGCTCACGTCAAAACTACCGCGGCCGGACGTGTGGAGCATAGCAATGTCCATTGTTATCTCATTGTTTTCATCAGCGAATCCACCAGTTCCCCAGCACGGAGTGTGGGGAGATGGCCACATCGAGTTCAAATTTGAAATGTCTTTTTTGTTCTTTTTAGTTCAGTCAGTTTAAATTCCATGCACTCTTTGCTGTGGGCTAATGTGTATTGTACAATTCTCCGCTTGCCTTTTCAAAGGCTGCTTCAACTTATAAACACCATGCCTGGGCCCCGGTCGGGAAAACGAGACGGAGTTCAATGCACAGTCAGTAGGTTCCAACCCAGCGTTCCGGCCAGAGCTGGGCTGGGCTGGGCTGGGCTGGGCTGGGCTGGGCTGGGGCTGCAGCCCTCCTCCTCCGCCCCCGCGCTCTTCCTGCTCTGGCGGGTCGAGTCCCCAGGACAACGCCCTCGCGCCCCCGGCGGGAGGGCGGGGCGCGAGCTGAGCCCGTCACGTCCCGAGCGTCGGGAGGCGGGGTATCGAGCGTGACGTCCGTGACGTCACGATGCCCCGCCCCTCGGCCCTGATATTCACGGCGCGGCCCGCCATTTTGTCTCCAGTGTCTCGTTTGCCGTCTGCAGTGCGGAGGGAAGTGTCTTGGTCCGTAGGCGTGAAGCAAGGAACAGAGTCCATTGTCTGTGTTTGGCTCCGTAGTTTGGTCCGAGGCCTCTCGGAGCTTTCCCGGGGCAGTCGGCAGAAGCCGCCGCGACCGCCCCGCCCCTCCCCTCCGTCCCCGGGATCGGGAGGGACCCAGCCCGCGTCACGCCCCTCGGTGCTCGCCGTTCCCTTCTCGGTCGTTGCGTCCGCATCGCACCCCCGGAATCAGACGGTGCCCCATAGATGGCCAGCTTTCCCCCGAGGGTCAACGAGAAAGAGATCGGTGAGGAATGGGACGGTGGGTGAGGGGTGCTGGTGAGCGGGCGGGGTCTGCGGTGAGGCAGGGACTTCCCCGGGGAGGCTCGGGGGGAAGAGCGTCTCTGAGTCTGAGGGAAGAACAGCCGGGGGCTAAGCCCGGGAGCGAAGAGGAAGGAAGCGGCTCCGCGGGGGGGTGTCGCCAACGGGTAAATGGGATCACCGTAGATGGGGTTCCTACTGTACGCCTGGCACGGAGGGAGGCAGTGCGCGGATCTTAGGGGCAAAGAGAACCTGTGCGCCTAGTGGCGAGGGCTCCAGTGATCGTGTGGCCGAGGATGGACACGCACCCCTGAGGACTCGAGTTCCCTCTTCGGAGATCCGCGCAGGGCCATTCTCTTGGGATTCTCTTGGTTCAGGGGCTGAGGTGTCGAGTGGCCAGCGGAGGGCTGGGCAAGTCTCTAGGACTCTTAAAGTTTACGATCGGGAAAAGTAAATTTGTGTGTTCTGAGCTGTAATGAAAGGATGAGTTTTATTGTATACCAACCAGTCAAAGGAGAAATGCAGCCGAAGAGGTGCCATCAGCCTGGAAAAAGCAAGATTAAAAAAAATAGGCGTTAAAGGCAGCGGTTCTGGGGCGGAGACTCAAGTTATCTTTACTACGCTTAGGAGCAGGGAGGAGCAGGGTAGCTGGGTGGAGTGACCGAAGAAAAGCTGAAGCTGAAGCTGAAAGGCTGTCTAGAAACTGGTTTAGTGGCCAGCCCTGCCACGCTGAAGACAGGCCAATAGATAGATATTGAAGGACCTGCTTCAGGACCTACTCAGTGGCTCAGTTGAAAGCGCCTCACGTTATTTAAATCCTCTCTCAAGGTAAAATAACTGGAACAGCTTTTGGGGGAGTTGGAGTTGCTGCGCATTCGTTGATATGCTTAGTAAAACGTTGAACTTATCAAGTCATGCTATACACTTTATTTACATATATACAGTTTTTATTTTTAAAAAACCGATTTAGCATCTCCCCACTCCTCCCCAAAGCCCAGCACTGAACTTACTGTTTTAATTAGATGAAAATTGGAGGTAGCTACTGAGCTACCTGAGCAGAGAGCCTTTGCATTTCCTTGTTCTTCAGCCAAATGTGTCCCTTTGTTAAATACACTTGAAAGAGGTATTTCTAGAGAAAGTAAGAGGCTGAAGTAGCCAAAAGGCCATCTATCCAGTATGTGGGTGAATTTTTATATCTAGAGACAGCTATCATAGAATTCTGGACTTTTGTTAGAATTCTGTTAAATGGCACATTAGGATGGGGACTTTAACCATGGTTTTATTTAACTGTGGAGCATAAAACTCAAAAGTTCTTATTTTCAGCCCAGTGGATTATTTTTCCTTCTCAGTAATATCACAGATGAGTGATCTGCCTTTCATTGATATGTATTTTACTTCATCTTTATGAACCATTTTGAAAACTTTCCAGGCCCCTTCTAAGGGCTGGATAGAGCTTAGCATACCTGCATAAGGTAGAGCCATCCCCCAAGTAGCCTTTAAATTTTTTCTTTTTTGCATATTTAGATTCCAGTGTTATTTCCTGGATATGGTATAAAGTCACTAGTTACTTGCCAAATATCTAAAAGAACTTTGGCCTTTTGTAAGCTTTTTAAAAACCCCAGGTTTTTGTTTGTTTCTTTTTTAAAGATATTATTTGGATACACAATTAAACACTAATATCTCTTTAGCTTTGTATCTATCAGTAAGGACTTCCCTTTTTTCTTAGGTATTAATAATAGCTGTTTGGTTTCTCAAGTACTGACTGAAAGAGGAGGCAAGATTCCATGAGTGATTAAAGAAGTCTGTGACTGGGAGTTACTACCTAGAGCTACTGCCCTTTTTCACAAGGCACTGCCACAGATCCTCCCTTCCCAGTTATGAAATTGCAGGGAAGAATGTGAAGAAGGAGCTAAATCTGGTTTGCTTGGTTGAGCAGTGACTCAGATGATGTGTTACTACTGTCTGGATATTAATAATGTAGTTCTTTGTCTTATGGCCAAGTTCCCATGGCAGGCAGCTTTTCCCTTATACAAGGTCATTAAATCATGCATTTCTTAGGACACTAACCGTAAGCAGTTGCAAGTAGTATAATAAAGATTCAATTAAATTTTTTTATTTATTATAAGCCTTGTGCTAGTTTATGATATTGTACCAGTATTCAAGTGAGTGTGTAAATCATTTGATTAAAATGTGAGGGTCCTTTACTATGCCTGTTAAAAAAGCAAAGAAACACAAGGTAATTATAAATGCAATACTTGTATTTATTTATTTGCCAAATTTTTTAGGGTGACCCTATTTCTTAAAAATATATGTATATTCAAGAATAAATTAGCTTAAAAAAAGAATAAACTGGTTTATTATTTCATGGTCTTTGTTATCTGAACCAGTTTTTTTTTTTTATGTTAATTTATTACCACCCTTTACACAAGAGGAGTTTTGTGATTGTGGCCAAGGTAAAAGAAGAAAAATACAAAGTGATCCTGAAATACATATGAAAAAATGAGTCTTCTGTAGGAAAGTTAGTCTTAGTTATGCTTACTAAAGGAGAAATGAATTCTTGTCTAATTTACCAGGTGTTTTAGAAGTTGAATGCAAGGGCCAGTCCTTTTTTGAGATAGAAGTTAACATAGTATACTCATCTAGTTTAACCAGGGGCTTTCTCTTTTTGAGATAATGTTTGCATTTTTCAATTGAATTTAAGACTTACTTTCCTTATTTGTGAAC